GAAGACATTTACATGCAACAACCAGAGGGGTTTGCAATACCAGGAAAGGAGAGTCAAGTTTGCAAACTAAAGAAGAGCCTATATGGTTTGAAGCAAGCTCCAAGACAGTGGTACAAGAAGTTTGATAACTTCATGTGTAGTACGGGATACATAAAATGTCAGGCTGATCATTGTTGCTATGTCAAACATTTTGACAACTCCTATATCATTCTACTGCTATATGTGGATGATATGTTAATTGCAGGTTCCAGCATGGAAGAGATTGACAAGCTAAAGCAACAGTTGTCAAAACAGTTTGAAATGAAGGATCTGGGAGCTGCTAAACAAATACTTGGCATGAGAATCATCAGAGACAAAGACAAAGGCATACTAAAGCTTTCACAGGCAGAGTATGTCAAGAAGGTTCTTAGCAGGTTTAGTATGGATAATGCTAAGCCAGTATGTACACCTCTGGGGAATCATTTCAAGCTCAGTAGAGACCAGTCACCAAAAACTGAGCTAGAACGTGGATACATGGACCAGATTCCATACGCCTCAGCTATCGGCTCCTTGATGTATGCCATGGTCTGTACTAGACCAGATATTGCCCATGCAGTGGGAGTTGTAAGCCGATATATGAGCAATCCTGGAAAGCAGCATTGGGAGGCAGTGAAATGGATCATGAGGTACTTAAAAGGCTCATCGGAGACATGTCTTATTTTCACAGCTGGCGGTTTGAAACTTGAAGGCTTTGTAGATGCTGATCTAGCAGGAGATGTTGATAGCAGAAAAAGTACTACAGGTTATATATACACTCTAGGAGGCACTGCTGTTTCTTGGAGTTCTACCTTGCAAAAGATAGTTGCTCTTTCAACGACAGAAGCTGAATATGTCGCAGTTTCAGAATCCGCAAAAGAGATAGTATGGCTACAGAGTTTCCTGCAAGAATTGGGCAAGATGCATGGAAAAGGTACTTTATATAGTGACAGTCAGAGTGCAATCTTCCTTGCCAAGAATCCAGCATTTCACTCCAGAACAAAGCACATACAGATCAAATATCACTTCATCAGGCAATTGCTCGACGATGAACAACTGTTACTTGAAAAGATCTGTGGAAGCAAGAATCCAGCTGACATGTTAACCAAAGGAGTTACTCTCGATAAACTGAAGCTGTGTAAAGCTTCAGTGGGTCTTGAAGATTAAAAGACAGACCTAACACCATTTGTGTCCAAGTGGGAGATTGTTATGTGTGTGGACACAAATGGACGGTGGCAGCCATGGTAGGTGGCAGCCATGTTTGGTGGCAGCCATGGTTGGTGGCAGCCATGGTTGGAATTATAGTCAAATGGTAGGTGCCTAACTTGCCCACCATTGTTGAACAATCATCTCCCTCCTCAGCTATAAATAGAAGGTGCACTGATAGCTGAGATAGACCACGAGATAGAGAGAAACACAGAGAGAGAGCTAAGGGTGAGAGTTGAGTTGAGTTGAGAAGTTTTTTCCTCCTCCTTGTTTTGTTGTTTGTATTGCTTTTGAGCTTGATTAATACAAACCAGTAGCTCCGTGGAGTAGGCAAGTTGCCGAACCACGTAAATTTGTGTGTGTTTGAATGTTTGGATCTCCTAACACTTGCCACTGTTAATATTGTAGCAGGTTTTCTTTATAATAAAGCATGTGACCAGCTTGGCAGCAATTCACTCCGTCAGAAGTGAATCGAGCAATGGTCCTTATTATCATTTTACACCATTAAATCCTGGCTTAAAACTGCTTCAAGGGCAGAATACAACCCTGTAATTAGTTCCGCCGGGACAGGTGAAGGTGCTTGTTTGGTCACCTTTAGGATAACTATAAGCGTCAGGGCACCTCTGCTTGAAAAACCTAGAGCAATCTGTCGGGCCACAGCTGCCAGAATTGCAACAGTATTGATCTGTCTTGAAGACGGTGCAAGGATTGTTGCAGTCTCCTCTCGCTCTGAGCTGATTTGGGCACTGTCCATTGATATCAGCTGCGCACCTAATTACGCGGCAGTTGCCTGATTTTTATGGCATTCTTGGAATCAAAATCTCTATCAGTGGAATCAGATTTATATATATAGAAACTATCCCTGCTTTTTATGACAAAATCATAGAGATCTCTTTTAACTTGTGCGCATTTTTTATTTTATTTTATTAGCACAATTAATTAGACGTTATTAAGAATTTATATGATATATATCAATAATAAAGGATATATGGTAATTTACTTTAAATATTTTTATAATTGTAAGTGAAACATGGAACACAAAAACGATACCTTCTTAAAAATCCAATATCACAAGGTAAACGAAGAAGTTGTCAATTTGCGTAAGTGACGTTCTTAGGAATCACTTTTCGACCAGTGTAATTTCAATAGCATTAATTCCGCGAAACAAACGTCACTTTAAAGAGCAGATATTTAACAAACGAGCACCTAAAATAGAAAAATTAAACAGCATACCTTGACCAAACTGCTTTAAGAAGAAAAATTATTAAATTTGGATATGCTTTAAGATAGGATCTAGTGGTTCGTGTATTATCACAAAATAGATTGATTTTCTTTGAAATTTAGAAAACGATGTTTAATCGCTCCTAGGGTGTTTTAAAAAAAGAAAATTCGTACAGCTAGAGTTACAGGTTCTAGTGGGTCTCGTAAGACAGTTTAATTTAATTATATGAAAAAAAAAAGAAGCAATGATATTAAATATACTTAATCAAAAGAGAAAAGGTGATGACGATGACACGTAGAAAAAGAACGTTTGCCAAAAGAAAAAACAAATACTTATAAAGTTGAATTTCAATATAACCAAATATTAATGAAATAAGTTGAGAAAAATAGATTTTAAAATCAATCTGAGTTATAATTCGGGTTATGAAGTCAAATCTCCATGTAAAAAATAAATAAATAAAACTCAATGTTAAAAGACGTAATTGAAAAACAAGTTCAATGAAAAAAACAAGAAAAAAAACCCAATATCAATCCAATTTAACATTTAATATATATGACCTTGGACATGAGACAGACAAGGATCATTATACTAAAAAAATATTATAAAATACAATATCAACCAATCAAATGTTAAATGATAGAATTAAAAACAAATAATTTCAAAAAAGGAACCTAAGAAAAAAATAATTAAAAGAATAAGGATCAAATCTAACATACAAATAAAATGACATAAAATGATGAGAGATGAAATTAAAAAATAAATTTAATCAAGAAAAAAATAACAATAAAAAAAATAAAAATCAAATTTGATATAAAATTCAAATAGAATCAAATGATAAGGAATGAAAAAAATTTAAAATAAATAAAAAATAATTAAAAAAATAATGACCACAATTAAAATAAAAAAATAAAAATACAACTTTTAATTTTGGTTAGCCTAGGGCGAATCTGAAAGAAAAAGGAAAGAAAATATTGAGAGAAAAAAATATCAATTCTTGTAGAATTAACTCACACGTATCATCTTATTAGATGGGTTCCCACTTGACGTTTTAGATAACATGACAATTGATCATTTTTAATTATTGGGAGGCATTGCAAACACTATCTAAAGATAGTAAGTGTTTTTAACACACCAATGCATCTCACGTATGTTCCAAAAGCATTTTAAAAAATAATATTTAACATTTTTAAAATATTGAATTTCCATTGAGTGTAGTTATTAATTACCACAAGGGGAAGATGAAATGACAAAAAAATCCTTGGACACATGCCTAAGACAATTTGATTGTAATGCTAATTTAGTAATTTTACTTTTCAAATTAGAATCAATTTAGTAAGACAATTTGATTGTAATGATAATTTAGTAATTTCAGTTTTTAAATTAGAATCAATTTTTAAAAAAAAAAAACCCTGGACGGAGGTAAGTTAAATGGATTTTACTGGAGGGCTACTTGATAATTTTATTATGCAATAAAATAGTGAGATGATTGAGATCTCTTTGGTCCATCTGGTAATAATGAAAAAAAATCATATCACCTCTCAAGCTAAATTATGTGGTTTTGTTTTAAAAGAGAAAAATAATTGTTGTGTCACTCCAAGGTAAAATATGAATGTATACACAGTAAATATCTAATCTCTTTTAACTTTTCTTTTAGTTATTATAAACAAGCACCTAGATAAATCCCATCTTAAAAAATTAAAATTCATATCTAAAATCTTAGGCTAAATAAGGTTATATCCATGGTTTCTTATTAAACCTGTTCCACCAAATAACTTGGCCCAAGTCCCTATTCATGACTTGGACAGAATAATTATGTTATTTTTTTTACCAAGTTTACATATCTTTTATTATTTTCACTATAACTTTCTCTAAAAAAAATTGAATTAATATATCATTTATGGTGTTAGAAATAAGATAGAGTAAGTGTTTCCTACATATAAATTTTGGGTAAAAACATATATCTATTTAATATAGGTTTTAGGTCAAATACCTCAATTGACAATTTTTCACTTTTATTTTTAATTGTAACTTCATGCTTTTAGAACATTAAGTAATCTTAATCCATCTTACAATACCATATAATCTACTATTTTCATTATATTTGATAATTTATACAAATACTTTTTAAATATTGTTATATTTATGCACCTTTCGTATAGAGAAAACTCAATCAATCCAAGATGTTTTCTAAATAAAATAATTCATATTTCTTACCTTGAAATTAAGAAAATAAAATGTAACTTTAATCCATCAACCCCACTTCTCTTCTCTATGCCTACCAATGACTTTTAGGATTTGTTTTTATGGAATAATTTTTTGTAAATAATTTTCTAAATTTTTTTGTATTTTTTTACCATTAGAAAAATTGATTAATCAAATATATTTTCCAATCAAATAAAATTTTAGCTTAATTTCTAGAAAAATATTTTTCTTTTATTTTAAACGAAAAACACTTTCTAAAAATAGTAAAACATTTAAAAATATTTTATTATTTATTTATTATATAAAATTTGATTCCGATCTTTTCTATGCAAAACTGTTAGTTTCACATCTTCCTTGAATATTTTTATCAATTTTGATGTATTGCATTCAGCTTTAGAATGAAGACCTTATGTGATGACCTTGATTATGTGATTCTTTAGGCGAAGAGAGAGTACAGAAGTTGAGGACATATTCCTTGCTCATATTAATGGAATTGATACCCTGGCTCGTGGACTCCGAAGTGCTGCCAAGTTGATTCAGGTGAGATCTTTAATTTTGATCTTCTCTACGATCTTCTCATGGGAGGTGTTTTTATTATCTTGATTTTGATGCCTTTGAATTTGTTTGCTGCGGAACAAAGGATGGTTCATTGGCTGAGCTTGTTCGCAAATGCTATCAGAGTTTTGATACAGAAATCGGGGCGCAAGTAGAGGTAACATGCTTCTTATTCCTATTTTGACATGTCTTTTAATTTCCCTTGTGGCTAACAGGTAATGCATCTTCCAACAGGCTGGTAAGGGAGATTTTGAAACGCTTGAGAAGCTGGCCATGAAATGGGGTGAACCCAAGGTTCCATCTGCTAAGCAGGTATTTGGAAAGTAACAATTTTTGCTTCAGCAATTGCAAAACATCCATCACCATGAATCCGACCCTTTTATGCAGATATTATAGATTGAAAGACTGAATGGATTTTTTGTTTGTACATGAGTTCTAGCGGGAAACGTGATGGAAAAACTGCTGGCTTTCCCATTATATATCAGTGATATAATTTTGTAGGATTTATTTCCTAGTTAATCTCATCTTTTATTCTCTCAGAGAGGAAATCTACAGACTTGAAATGCATAATAGCCAAGATTTCTTATCTATCTAATCCTCTTCATTGGAAATAATACGCTATAGAGTTCTCACTAATAATAGATGCAGCGAATTGAACTTAATTCTGAAGTTGGATTAATCTGTTTCTTGTAAATGTATTATATTTGCGGTTCTACTTTGCCAACTGATTAGTACTTAAAAGTGCATTTTTATCATGGTTTTATATCATCATTTTGCACTTGAAATATCAATAACTCCTTAACTAAAATATGTTTTATAATAATGTATCTAATAATATAAGATACCTATAATTTGTGGTAAATGTCTATTTTTAATGCAGGCCTATCACATAAATGAAAGGATTGATTGATGACTTGAAGAACTTAAATTGCAAGGATAAAGAGATGACCAAATTTAGAAAAGAGATGTCGGTGCAATCTAAACCGGAACACTGTTCTGTAATTGGGTCATATCTAGAGTTACAGATCTCCGATTTAGGTCCAATTTATATGGATAGAAAAGTAAGACATAGGCCTACAACTTTCATATGGAGCCCAAGATCTAAAAAGGCCATTATCAAGTCCAAATTGTAGCAACAACAAAGAAGCCCGAATCTGTCTTCCAGCCCGAGCACTGTTCGGTATTTTGGCCATATCTGGAGTTCTAGAAGTCCAAATGAGCTGAATTTTTTACACCAGAAAGCTGAGACAATTGCCTACAACTTTCATGTTTGCAACTGGCTCCAATTTTGACGTTATCAATGACGTTTTGGGCAGACAAGAGAAGATAAGGATTGTCACCAAGTCAAAAGTTGGCCACCCACTTATCAATTAGTCATCAAATCAATAGTTCTCAATTTTGGCCTATAAAAGGAGGCATTTGCCATGCATTTAGGCATCTTGGTTTCCAGATCAAGATCATGCTCTTCCTTTCTCTCTTTGTATTTTTTGTAATGTTTATGCTTTACTTTCATTAATATTAAGTTTATGCCTTTCATTTCCTTTCCTTTACTTAGTTAACTTTTATGTTCTTATTTTGTTTATCTATTTTGCTTTCTTTCATTATGTCTAGCTAAGTTAATTATGTCAAGGTGAAAAGGTTACACTAATGGTGTAAGAATAAGTATAATGTAAACTTAATATGGACTTTAATGTTTGATACTAACATGTTTTATATTTGTTATCTTGTTCACTCTTTAATACTTTACTTGTTAAATGACTAATCTTGATTTATGTTGTATAACACTTGGTACAACAAATGCTTGGCACTTTCATAGCCCATAATGTATGGTATAACCGACACCTGAGCTATGAAAGGAACTTGATTTGTTGTTAACATAAGTTATAATCATGAATGCTTGACGAGATTTACAAGTATTAGCATTAATTGAATATGATGACTAATGTAATCATGTTAACAATATATAATCTGATTGGAACCTCCTTTATGTGTGGTTTCCAATTCAATAATAAGAGTTTATACTATACTTGTTTGGTATACCATTAGTGGAACCTCTAACCTTGACATTTGTTATTATTATTGTTTAATCCTTACATTAATTTTCCATCTCCAAGTTCTCATCATCTTCTTCTTCTTCTCTTTCTTTATTATTATTATTATTACTACTACTACTACTACTACTACTACTATTATTATTATTATTATTATTATTATTATTATTATTATTATTATTATTATTATTATTATTAT